ACTCTTTACCTTTTCTATATGGAAAACAAATAGGCCCAATTCTCTAAACAGAATTTGTCTTTTTCAGCCCGCCTAATTTCCTCTAGTCCAAATGTCGAACCCTAACAATTTATTTGCTGTTTACCATTTCCCCCCTTTAATTCTCTCTTTATAAGCACCAAAATCCTCTCTCTTATTCATCCCTTTCCATTTCATATGTTTCCATTATTTATACTCTTAACCTTTTTTTAAATGGAAAACAAATAGGTCCAAATCTCTAAATGGATTTTTTTTCAGCCCGCCGAATTTCCTCCAGTCTAAATGCCTAACCTTAACAATTTAATGCTCCTGGCCATTTCCCCCCTCTACCCACTACCCTATCTCTCTCTCTCTCTCAGCACTGAAATCATTTCTCTCAAGACTCCTCTCACTTTAATCTTCTCTCTCACTCTCAATATCTTTTGACTCTCGTCTCTCGATTTAAAAAATGGTGTCAATACATCTATCAACCCGATTTCTTCCATCGTCATCGGAAATCTTTAGATTTAGAAGGTAATCTCTAGTTTCATTCCCTTTGCTAACAATAAGACTTGAAATTTTGTGAGAAGTGTAGATCCAGTGGCGGACCTGCCATGGGGCACTGCCCAAAATTAGACAGCCCCAAAACAACGTCGTTTTGGGGTTGTTATATATAAAACTATTTTTTATATTTTATTTTCATTTGTTATGCGAGATAGACTGCTCTCATCTTTTTCTCTCTGCGCCTCGCCTCTCCTCTCGGCCTCTCGCGTCTGCGCCTACATCGCCACCCGCCACCGCTCGCCACCACCAGTCGACCAGAAGGCGCCTCTTCCTCTCCAGTCGCCACCGGCCACCGTCTTTTGCCTCAGGCCTCACCTCACCGCCTGTGCTTCGCCAACTGTCCAGGTTCAACTTCTCACCCTTGTTCAATTTTTTTCAATTGTTTGCTTAATTTCAATAATTCAATAAGCAACTTCTCTAATTTTTTGTTTGCCCTATTTTCTTTAATTTCCCTAATCTTGTTTTTGCCCTAATTTCTTTAATTTCCGTAATCTTGTTTTTGCCCTAATTTCTTTAATTTCCCTAATTATGGTTTTGCCCTAATTTTGTTTGTTGGCTTTGTTGCTGGTTTAATTTATGTAATTATGTGATGCGGTTGATGACGTGAATGACCGTGATGGACTGATTTATGCTTATTTGGAAATTGGAATTCTTTGAATTGTGAATCTGTGATTTAGCTATGGTGATTTATGCTTATTTGGAAATTGGAATTCTGTGAATGTGAATCTTTGATTTAGGCATTTAGCTATGGTGTTGCATAAAAAAAAATGAGGAATTGAATATCTTACTATGCATATATGATATATTGGTAATCTGTGTTGAACGTTTTTGCTTATGTAATATGAGGAATTGAATATGATAGTATGATACTATGCATATCTGGCCGTGATGGACTGATTTATGTATAATGTATTGCTTAATTTTTTCTTATGTAATTATTTTAGTTAGAACTTAGAAACTGAAATAGCATTTGGTTGTAATAACATTTGGTTCAAGAATGGAAAAATAGAAAATCAACTTTTGAGGATTCATCTAGGTAGTCGCTAAGTGTCAAGTACAAGGCCTTGTATTGAGGAGTAGAGGAGTATTATCCCGTAGTTTATCATAAATTTTGTGTTGTGATTTTATAATTTATTTTGTATTTTAACAATTTTATTTGTATTTGATATTTTGTATTTGAATCTTGTATCTGAACATTTTAAAACATTTTCCCCTTACTTTTCCGCCCCCCACTCAAGATAAATCCTGGGTCCGCCACTGTGTAGATCTATGTTTTCCGTTTGAACAACCACAAAAAATTGTTTTCATGGTAAAGAAATTGAAATTGGGAAAACATTGTCACATTTATTTCGAACCATATTTTATTGAATACATTTTCTATTTTTCATAAATTTTGGTTACTTAATATATCCGCATTTTCAACTTTGTTGACAATTAAAAGTGAGAAAGAGATATAAACCACTGCCTAACATCAAATAGCTTTTGGGCTATTTTGTTACAATTCTCTCTCCAACTTCTCAAAAAAAATTGAAGATAGAATTTTGGTATTTTCTATTTTTCATAAATTTTGGTTACCCACATATGCAATTTTGTTGACAATTAAAAGTGGGATAGAGATATAAACTACTACCAAACTTCAAATAGCTTTTTAGCTATTTTGTTACAATTCTCTCTCCAACTTCTAAAAAAAATTGAAGTTTTCATTTTCATTAGAAAGCTATATAATGTGGTAAAACCTGTTTATTTGTCAATCTATACAATTTGAAATTAATGGTATTAAATTCTTTTATTCATAAAGCAATAAAAATGTAGTGGTAAATGATGAAAATATAAAGAAATATTGTAGCTATGTAGGTTGTCGGGGCTTTGTGTGGAGGTAGATGGGATTAAGTTAGAGACATAATGGTTAAACACGTAAAAGAAATATGAATGCCATAAATGCATATGCAATAATCGATAAGTAAGTAGATAGTTGTGGGGTGTTGATAGTTAGGGATGGATTAAATAGGTAGATGGTAGTAGGAATTAATGAATAGGTTATAGTGCTATAAAAGAATATTGTTATACTAGAGTAAAATATGAAATAGTGAAGTGAATGCGCATAATTAAGTAAAGATAATGGTGATTATAAATTATGTATTGGGAGTCGGCCATGTTAGCCGAGTTCAGCCCCTAATCGATTCGAGACTTGACGCTGTGGCTTACCATGGAGGGATGTGATTAAATAATTAATGCCTACCTACTTATCACCAATTGGTTTTAAGTAGGATATGACAATCAAATAGTCAAGGACTCTGTGATTTAGCGTGCTTGACTTATAAAAGTTGCAAGATGGGTGAGCACTTGGGAAGTAAGCATAGTGATGCGCTGAGATCCATCAATTGGTATCGGAGCCGAGGTCACGGGTTCTAATCGATAGTGAAGTGAAAGTCGAGTCTACTCCCAGATGGGATGTGGGCGTAGGTCAGGCCAAGTGTAGTCTTTGGAGGGGGAAGATGGGCGCGGAGGCTAAGGACCGAGTGAGGCATGCAGTGCAACTGGTCTTAGTGTTCAAAGGTTAGGGCATGTGCTGGGAGGGGGATTTTTGGGCGTCGGGCGGGTTGGCCGAGTTCAGCCCCTGCTCGATTCAAGATGTGGCACTGTGGCTTAGCATGGAGGGATGTGGTTAAATGATTAATGTACACCTACTTATCACCAATTGGTTTTAGGTTGGATATGACAACCAGATAGCCAAAGAACTCTATGGTTAAGTGTGCTTAACTTAGAACCATAACATGATGGGTTACCCTTGGGACGTAAGCATATTGCAGCTATGAGTTCCATATTCCTTCTATTCCTTTTGTACTGACATTCAAATTTCTTGTGAATATAGGGTAGGACCAAAGTTCAATATAAATAAACAATAAAATTTTTTCCTGTTTTCAGACAACAAATGTAATTGTAATCTAAGACACAATCAAAATGTCATTTACTACTCCTAACTCTTAAGCGCCATAAGCCACAACCAAAATTGAATCAAGATATAATCATGGAAATCCTTAAACGGCTGCCTGTGAAGTCTCTATTCCAATTTAGGTGTGTTTCAAAAGCTTGGCGTGTGTTAATCTCATCTCCAAAATTTGCCAAATTGCATCTAAATTGACATTGCATTCAAAAATTGATAATATGATCATGACATATAGTAGTGTAAATCAGCTTAGCAATATATAATTGTTTTCTCTAGCAGAAAACATGCAATCATCCATTCACATGCTTATTACATATGACTGCTCACTCTTAGGCCCTAGAGGTGGTTTTGAATTTTCGGGTTCTTGGAATGGGCTGTTTTGTTTTCGTGCAAAATCTTATAAAATAATAATTTGGAACCCTTCAACAAATGTAAACCTCAAGACAATCCCAGATGTCTGGCAGTTGGCTACATGAGCATATTTGCATTTGGATACGATGAGCATAATGATGATTACAAGGTTATTTATGCTTATGATGCTGACTATGATGATGTGAATATGGTTTTGGTGTACAGTTTTAATTATGGGTATGGAAAAGAAGTAAAAGAGGGTTTATTAGTGGGTTTGTTAATCCCATAATTGTTGATTTTGTGAGTGGTAGTCTCAACTGGTGCAACAACAACTTAGATGATAGTGACTGGAATTGGAACATAATTTCTTTTAATTTAACCACTCAAACTACCAAATCTATAGCATTATCCATCCATGAACAATGGGCTGCCGTTTTTATAAGTGGATCAAGATGATTGCTTTTTGTAGGTTTTCATTATAAACGTCAAATGGAAGTTTGGATAATGAATGAGTATGGTGTTGAAGAATCTTGGACAAAACTACTCTGCATTTCAAACTTACCAGTTCATCATCCATTTTCCCGGGGTTTAGAGAATACTGCATGCATGGCTATGTGTAATGCTAAACTCTCTATTGCACGTGTTTCTAAAAATGGTGATATTCTCATAATGGTTGAGCACCAGCTGAGGCTCCATATGCCTAATGGTAAAATTAAAGGGGAAAGAATTTTAATATCCCCTATGTTTTTGGTTATACGGTAACTAGTTATGTAGACACCTTTAGCTTGTTTCACTAGCCATGATCGGTCTGTAAATGGTGATTAATGAAGTGGGTTGGCTTCTAGGCGGCCAAAAACAACAGCCTTAGTTGCCAGCCCACTTGGTCAATCATTATTTACATACCAATCATGGCTGGTGAAACAAGCTAAGGGTGTCCACCTAACTAGTCACCGTAAAACCAACAACATATGGGATATTAAAATTCTTACCCCATAATCCTTTGGAGCTTCAACTGATGCCCAACCATCATTGGAATATCTCCAATTTTAGAAACATGTGAAATTTAGAATTTAGCATTACACATAGCCATGTATGCAGTGTTCTCTAAACCCCGGGGAAGTGGATGATGAACTGGTAAGTTTCAAATGCAAACTAGTTTAGTCCAAAATTCTTCAACTCCATACTCATTCGTTAACCAAACTTCCATTTGACGTTTATAATGAAAACCTGCAAAAAGCAATCCTCTTGATTTATTTATACAAATAGCAGCCCCATATTCATGATTAGGTAAAGCTATAGCTTTGGCAGTTTCAATGGTTAAATTAAAAGAAATTATGTTCCAATTCCAGTCACTGTTATTTAGTTTGTTGTTGCACCAGTTGAGACTACCACTCAAAAACACAACATTTTTGGGATTAACAAACCCACTACTAAACCCTCTTTCACTTTTTTTCCATGGCCCATACTTAAAACTATACACCAAAACCACATTTTCATCACCATAGTTAGCAGCATAATAAGCATAAACAACTTTGTAGTCGTCATTATGCTCGTCGTTTCCAAATCCAAATATGCTCATGTAGCCCAAGTGCCAGACATATGTGATTGTCTTGAGGTTTCCATTTGATGAAGGGTTCCAAATTATTATTTTATATGATTTTGGACGAAAACAAAAGAGCCCATTCCAAGAACCCAAAAATTTGAAACCAACTCTAAGGACTTAAGAGTGAGTGGCCATATGTAATAAGCTTGTGAAATGATGATTGCTTGTTTTCTATTAGAGAAAACAAAGACATATAGCAAATATGATTTACACTAGCTACTATATGTCATGGTCATATTATCCTCTTTAGAATGCAATGAAAATTTAGATGCGATTTGGCACATTTTGGAGTTGAGATTAAATCACGCCAAGATTTTGAAACACAGCTAAATTGGAATAGAGACTTCACAGGCAGCCTTTTAAGGATTTCCATGATTATATCTTGATTCAATTTTGGTTGTGACAAATGGCGCTTTGGAGTTAGGAGTAGTGAATGACATCTTGATTGTGTCTTAGATTACAATTCCTTTTGTTGTCTAAAAACAAGAAAAAAAAATTTGATTGTTTATTTATATTGAACTTTGATCCTTCAAAATATTCAAAAGAAATTTGAATGTCAGTACAAAAGGAATAAAAGTGTAGATCATGTGACTATTGTAAGTCAAGCATGCTTAATCACAGAGTTCCTTGGCTATCTGGTTGTCATATCTTCTTTAAAACCAATTAGTGATAAATAGGTGGACATTAATCATTTAACCAAATCTTTCCATGGTAAGCCGCAACACCACGTCTTGAATCGAGCAGGGGCTAAACTCGACCAACTCGACCGACGCCCAAAAATCCCCCTCCTAGCACCTGCCGCAACCTTTGAACGTCAAGCCCAATTGTGCACCATGCCTGACTCGGTCATTAGCCTTTTTGCGCCCATCATTCCCCTCCAAGGACTGGACTTGGCACGTCTTACGCTCACATCCCATCTAGGACTAGGCTCGGCTTTCGCCTCGCCATTGATTTGAACCTATGACATCAGCTTTGATTCCAATTGATGAATCTCAGCGCAACACTATGCTTACTTCCCAGGGGGTCTCCTATCCTCGAACTATTGTCAGTGAAGCACGCTTAACCACAGAGTTCATTGGCTATCTGGTTACTATATCCTACTTAAATCCAATTAGTGATAAATAGGTAGAGATTAATCATTTAACCATTTAACCACATCCCTCCATGGTAAGCGACAATGCCACGTCTCGAATCGAGCAAGGGCTGAACTCGGCCAAACTAGTCTACGTCCAACACATCATTTATAGTAAACATTATCTTTAATCACTTATACACATTCACTTCACTTATTTTTATATTCTTATACTTTCACCCACCTACCAAAACCATCAACCACCACCTACCTACCTCAACTATCACTATTTCATATTTTCCTATAGTATAATCATATTCTTTTTAAGCACCATGACTTATTTATTAATTCCTACTCCCATCTACCTATTTAATCTATCCCCAACTATCAACCCCCCACAATTATTGTGATTTCATGTATGCGTAATATTCTATAACTCTGGTTAACATCTTGACTTAACAAATTAACATATCGTTCATATCTCAAAACCCTAAACATGTGTTCTAACAGTTATAGCAACAATATATGATTAAATACGGAAATCAAAACATGCAGAAAGTAAATGACACAAGGTATTGTTTACCCAGTTCAATACAATTCATATCTACGTCTTGGGGACCACCATCGGTGCGTCCAATTCACGCTCTCATCAGCAATTCATATAGAATGTAAGAGAAGACCATTCTCACCTAATGCTTGCCACACACGGTAGTAACCCAATCTATAGAGGGTATAGTAGATTGCCGAGGGCGGAGATCTGTGCAAACAGCAGTCCAAGAAGTCCCTTCTTGGAGAGCCACACTGTTGCTGTCTGTCTCGCTAACTCACTCTTCACTGTACGACAATTTCATAGAATACGGTCCACTGATTCAGCTTCAAAGTGTTTCTTCTAAATATTATTCTTAAACTCAGATCATAAAGGCTTGAGAAAAAGATATGCCAGAGTAGTCGTTCTTAGAGTGTAGAGAGAGTTTCTTGTGATTTAGATGTTGAAGATCATTTCTTGTTATTGTCTCTATAATCTTGAATGATCTCTCTACGTATATCTTTGACTCTTAGAAGACAAGTAATCTTAAAGATATTTCATGTAGAAGATTACTGTCTTACCCTTTGAGGTATATCAGCAGATAAGGACTGTCTTGTAAAATAACTTCAAGTGCTGTAAGTGCTCTGCCAGGTAATCTCGGATAAGTCGGTGTAGTCCAACAGCCAGTTTCCAAGGCTCTGATGTAGTGTCTATTCTGTCAGATAATCACTTAGCATACTAACTGACACTAAACCTAAGTTATCTGATTTGCCATAATAATAAAGTCAATTATATGTTGGGGTTTACAACATTTAAACACTTAACAAAACTCCCCCTTTTTATATTATTTGTCAAAACAATTCAATTAAAACTAATACAAGTAAACCAAACAATAAAAACCAAGAGCAGTTACAAAAATAAACACATAAATTATAAAGTCCTGTCCAAGGACAATTGTTCAAACTTTATAGACCCAAGTAACCAACACACGTAAAATAGTGCGGTCTGTAAACCAAGTAACCAAATAAGCATCCAAATTAAAGTAACCAATTGTCTATAAATTACTCCCCCTCAATACGTTTCTCCTCGTTTTTTGTCAAAGTAATAGACAAAGCAATTTCAAACAACTGGAGGTTCATCAGCTTTCCAATATCAAAGCCCTGCAAAGTGCCAATTCGATACAGAAATGCAGCTAGTTCCTTGGTCACTGAGTAATGATGAGCAGAGGGGATCCAGTTGTATGTGGACAACCGATGTAGGATCACATATTTTGAACTTCGGTCAACACTGTAGATTACATCTAGCTGAGCTGATTGTTGATTGGCCAGTGAGAATAGACTCCTCTAGTAAGAGTCTTGGCAACTTGATCCCAATTTGTAATATCCTCCCCAGGTTTTGCCTTAAGTCCATAAAAGTTATAGATAACCTCTGGATAAAGACTTTGTAGTGCTTTGGATTGGTTGGATCACTGATTGACTCAGAAAGGTTGCAGTGAACGCACTAATCAGCAGTTTAGAATATGGCCCTACATTTTCAACAGTTGCCATCAACCCAACCTCTTGAAGTAAGGCGATCACATCACACATAGAGTTTAGTTGATTGACATCCACATTCCTCTAGACAATTAGTTCTCTTCTTAGCATGGATTCCCATATGCTCTCCGTTTCTTCATTCAGTAAAACATGAATGAATTGAGCAACTGTCTCAGCTTGATCAGGGTTTTCAACAACCTCAGGAGTAAAACTCCTTTTCTTGCAGGTTTGGAAGTAGTCTTTTTAGTCTATGGAATCGGAGCAGGTGCAGCCATGGGTGTTTTTCCCTTTGTGGCATATCTCAAATTCTTGAAGACTTGTTAAACTGGTGGATTTTTCTCTGGATCGGTAGAAATAGGAACCTTTCTTCTCTTGTCAGAACAAGCTATCAAGGTTGACTCAGTAGATGGATCAACACACTTCTCAGGTTGTCTTTTTCTTTTTATCTATTTTGCTTGAGAACTCTCGTTGTTGGTAATAGGAGATTATGGTCTCATCAATGAACTCAATATTCCCAGATTCAACATCAGGTTATGACACATGAGTTTCCTCAGTAGGATGATCAGTCATTTCCACATAAGTTTCACAAAGATTAACAACACCAAAAGTATAAACAACTTATACAATATTTGATTTCTCAAATAAAATACTACCCCGGCCCAAGGTAACTAATATGCGATGATGTGAAGAAAACAAGATACATCCAAAATGAGCAAAAAGCTAAGTAAGGTTCACTTCACCTCGTTAAACACCTTTAGAATATATTATTTGAAAAAAACCATTGATATTCAAAATAAATATGGAGTATGTAGTTTCTTTTCTTTTCACATAAATAATTTATAACCAATATAGTAATATAATTTATCTTAATAAAAACTCACATACACATAAATATATATATATATATATATATATATATATATATATATATATATATATATATATAGATATATATTTGAGAAACCCACAATTTAACTTTTACCAAATATCAAAGACACAATTTCAAGAGGCTGAAATGGTACTAGCTATCTAACATCGCAGAAATGGTACTAGCTATCTAACATCTTACTCTAAGATCCCATGTTCTCATCATTCGTACATGTTATATTTCCCAATTCTATGGTTTGTCTGGGTCTAAAAACCATAATGAAAGATTAAAAAAAAAAAGAAGAATAAAACACACATGAATCTAAAGACTAACAACACGTTTAATTCATGGAATATGCTTAGAATGGTATAGAATTCCTATGAGTATGCTTATTCCATCATTTGGTAAGTTTATAAATTCTTGAAAATAAAAGTGAGAGGGGCTCCTTGTGCGCAGTGAGCACCGGTCTAGCCTCTGTGGTTCATGTTCAGTTGAGTCACCCTGATTTACATCCTCCCAAATGCTCTGTCGGGCCGGGGTGTGGGGGGCCCTTAGGGTTGGAGTTCAACCCTTTGGAAGAATAAATTCTTGAAAATACTATTTTCAAGAATATGATAGGCCTTGAAACTAAATATATTTTATTATTATTAGGACTATATTATTCATATTAGACTAGGACTATATTATTCTTGTTAGACTAGGACTCTATCTACTATCTATATATTCTCTCTCTGTACTCTCAGACATTATTATTGAACACAACACTTTTAGATACACTCTGATCTGGTATCAGCTTCCAGGTTTTTCTCCCATGGATGGTCTCGGTCTCCCTGATGTTGGCTCTGTTCGATCTTCAGAACAGACCGTTATCGAGACCTTCCTTGTGCCTACCGGGAACAGCCTCTCATTGTCTCGTCACTTTGTCTCTCTCAAATTGACCTCCTGTAATTATCTTTTCTGGCGAACACAGATGCTGCCATTCCTAGAGGGTCAAGGCCTTCTTAGTTTCATCGATGGTAGTATACCGTATCCGGTCGCAGCACCGGTCGCCTTTGCCTCGACCTCCAACAGCCTAGCGGCGGCGGGTGAGCTCGTAGCCCGGCAGGGGGCTTGGAGGAGGCAAGACAAGGCCAGATTGTCTCTTTTAATTTTGTCCCTTTCAGAGGAGACGATACGATTCGCCGTTGGTCATTCTACTTCGCGGCAACTGTGGCTCACCATCGACCAATCTCTCGCTTCTTCCTCGCGTTCTCGGGCGTTGCAGTTATTCGATGAGTTGCAACCCCTTCTGCAGGGGGACTCTTCCATCGCAGATTATATTGGTCGTGCACAACTTTTGGTTGATGATCTAGCTCTTACCGGTCGTGATGTTACGTTAGACGATCAAAACTTGTACATCTTTCGTGGCTTACAGTCTGAATTTTGTTCGCTTGTGGCAAACCTAGCTCGAGGTGCTACGGTTCCGCTTGTGGAGGTGGTATATTTCTTGGTATCGCAGGAGTGGATCTGCACTGACGATAGAGTCGGCGATGTACCGCCGGTTGCGATGGTTGCTGGCCGTGGATGTCTGGCTTCAGGCCGCGGTGGCCGTGGCGGTGCGACGCAATAGCAAGGTCGCGGTCGGGGCTCGAGCGGCAGTCGTGGCTATGGACGCGGGCGTGGCTCGAGCACGGGACCACGGTGCCAGATCTGTGACAAACAAGGACATGGGGCCCTCTCGTGTTGGTATCGTTTCTCGACCCCCCCTCCCCCCAGCACCGCAAGCGAATGTGGCTGTATCTAGTGAGATTGGTGATCCCAGTGGTCCTCATGAGTGGTTCCCGGACACTGGCACTACGAATCATGCTACGCCTAATTCATCCTTGATGACTTCAGCAACAAGTTATGATGGCCTGGAAACTCTGCGAGTCGGCAGTGGTACAGGTTTTCCTACTGTTAATGTTGGTTCCGCTTCGTTAGCTACTAATTCTAAGTTTTTTAAGTTCCATGATGTTTTGCATGTCCCTGGTCTCTCCTCTTCTTTACTGTCTGTTCAGCGCTTTGCGAAAGACAATAATGTTTTCTTTGAGTTTCACCCACTTTGTTTCTATGTGAAGGACATTTTGACAAAGAAGGTTCTTTTTAAGGGGAATGCGTCTGGGGGTCTCTACAAGTGGCCCACGTCTTCTGTGTCTCCTGCTCATTTGTTGCTGCACGGTCCTCTTAAGTTTGGCACATGCGACTGGGGCATCATCATTCTAGAGTATTACGTCAAATTTTAGCGTCTTCGTCTGTTAGTAAATTTAATTCTAGTGATCTTCCCAATGTTTGTTCGTCTTGTCAATTGGGAAAATCTTCTCGTTTTCCATTATCTCGTGTTGAAACTACTAGTATGCACCCTTTAGAATTAATTTATTCTGATATTTGGGGCCCTGCGCCGTTACTTTCTGCAAATGGCTTTAAATATTTTGTGTGGTTTGTGGATGATTATACACATTATATGTGGTATAATCCGATGCGTGCTAAATCTCAATTATATGCCATATTCGATAAGTTTCGGTCACTGGTTGAACGTTCCTTTTCTCGCAAGATTATTTCCTTTCAATCTGATTTAGGGGGAGAATATAAAAAGCTTGGTTCCATTCTTTCTTCTCTGGGTATTCATCACATGCAATCATGTGCGTATACTCATGAGCAGAATGGTCGAGTAGAACGTAGGAATCGTCATGTTGTTGAGACAGGACTGTCTTTGATGGCTCAAGCATCTGTTCCTTCTTGTTTTTGGGAATATGTGTTTGAGACTGCTATCTATCTTATAAATAAAATGCCTACTCGTGTTCTGTCTAATGAGTCTCTGCATTTTCGTTTCATTGTTCTCCCCCTTCCTACTCCTACTTGCGGATGTTTGGTTGTTTGTGCTTTCTTGTCCTTCGTCCATATAATCGCAATAAACTCCAGTTTCGTTCGTCTCCATGTGTCTTTCTAGGTTATCCTCCATCTTATCGTGGCTATCGTTGTTTGGAAACTAACACTAACAAGGTTTTTATCTATCGCCATGTTCGATTCGATGAGACTGTGTTTCCATTTGTTTCTCATGTTGCCTCGCAGGTTGCTAGACCATGTTTTGAACCTTGGGCTACTGGACCGATTGTGACGAGCCGAGGTGGTGGTGTCTCGACTACGGCTATTGATGACGCTTGGCAGTCTGATGAGCCCATCTCGGCTTCTAGCGATGGTGACGATAACGGTCCCGAGCAGTCCGCATCGAGTGAGCGGACTGTCTCGGACCAGCAGGTTGAGCAGCGCAGCAGGCCGCGTGGACGTCCTCGGCGAGTCACTCCTCCTCCTCTGTCGCATGCTATGAACACTCGTAGCTCAGGTCTGCATCAACATGTCGTCTTAACCAGTGTTTCTACCATAGTGCCTGAGCCCACTTGTTACACTCAGGCAGTCAAATCTCCTGAGTGGTGTGATGCGATGGACGTAGAGTTCAATGCCTTGGTCCATAATCATACGTGGCGTCTTGTTCCGTTTCAACTAGGTATGAATGTTGTTGGTTGCAAATGGGTTTTCAAAACCAAACGGAAGGCCGATGGTTTAATAGAACGTCATAAAGCTAGGTTGGTGGCCAAGGGTTTTAAATAGGTTGCTGGAGAGCACTTTTTTGAGACCTTTAGTCATGTGGTTAAGCCCACTACGGTACGCCTTTTCTTGTATTTAGCTGTATCTCGTGGGTGGACTATTCACCAGTTGGATATTCACAACGCCTTTTTAAATGGCGAGCTAGCTGAGACTGTTTATATGTGACAACTGCCTAGTTATGAGGACAAGTCATTAACTAATCACATGTGTTTGGTTCAAAAATCTCTATAAGGGCTCAAACAGGCTCCACGTGCTTGGTTCACAAGATTGCATGATTTTCTTGTCTCTGTGGGCTTCTCGCCTTCAAAGACGGATGTGTCTCTTTTTATCTATTCTCGTGACAATATTCATCTTTATTTCTTGGTGTATGTTGATGACATTTTGATTATGGGTTCTGACTCAGAGCGTGTTACTACTCTTATTGATAAATTAGCACTTGAGTTTAAGGTTCGTGATATGGGTGTGCCTTCTTTCCTTTTGGGCATTGAAACTGTCCCGTTATCTGCCGGTATGCTTTTATCACAACAACGGTATATGAAGGATATTCTCAACCGTGCTAGCATGGTGGACTGCAAACCAGTAATCACGCCCGTCTCTTCTGCGAAAATCACCGACGAAGTCGCTGTTCCCTATGCCGATCCTACACAGTATAGGAGTCTTGCAGGTGCTCTCCAGTATCTTACGATAAATCGCCCTGATTTATCTTATGCTGTTAATCTCTTGTGTCAGCACAAGCATGCGCCCACTACTACGGACTGGGCCTCTCTGAAAAGAGTCATGCGGTATGTCAAGGGCACCCTGAATCTTGGTCTGCGAATTTCTCGGTCTACATCTATGGATATTCACGCCTATTCTGACTCATATTGGGCTGGCGATCAAAATGATCGCAAGTCTACTAGTGGCTTTGCTATGTTCTTGGGTAGTAATCTTATATCTTGGGTATGTCGGAAGCAACGGAGTGTGACACGTTCTTCAACTGAAGCAGAATACAAGGGACTAGCTGATGTATCTGTAGAGGTTACATGGCTTGTTTCCCTGTTAAACAAAATCGGCATCCCTCCTGCATCTCCTCCTCGACTATGGTGTTAAATAGCCTAGGTATACAACCGAACCACCACAATCTATGAGTAGTTATTGGACCTATTCTAGTCCTACAAAGCAGGAAGAAATAATCCATACAATAGATTAAAACATACGTAAATATATTATGTCTTCTTACTACTTACTTATGTGCCAATCCAGTGTTTCATGCCCACACGAAGCACATTGAGATTGACTATCATTTTTTTCGCGATAAAGTAGCTAAAAAGGAGTTAGATGTGCACTTTATTTCAACCAATGATCAACTAGCGGATATCTTTACAAAGTCTCTTTCGTCTCTTTGTTTTAATTCTCTCCGTGTCAAGCTCAATGTTTTGGCTAGTCAACCTTGTGCTTGAGGGGGAGTATTAGGACGATATTATTCATATTAGACAAGGACTATATTATTCGTGTTAGACTAGGACTCTATCTAGTATCTATATATTACTCTCAGACATTATTACTGAACACAACACTTTTACATACACTCTCATCATTATATAGGGTATTTCTATAATTTGAATGCTTATGTCATTTCTATTTCAAAAACGAACCAAAACCTAAATAAAATTCTTAAAATATATTCATTCCAAGAACAAAACAATGGAATATATATAATTCATGTTCTGTATCTTGATTTTCGATTCCCTATTGGATATTATTCTTCTTCCTCCAAACTCAATTACGTAAACCAAAGGCTACTTTGTGTGGAATATTTTTTCCATTTCCATTTCCTACATTTCCATTTTGTATACTCCATACCTTTTCTACATTAAAATTGGATATTATTCTTCTTCCTCCAAACTCAATTACGTAAACCAAAGGCTACTTTGTGTGGAATATTTTTTCCATTTCCATTTCCTACATTTCCATTTTGTATACTCCATACCTTTTCTACATTAAAAACAAATAGACCGAATTGTCTAAATGGATTTTTTTTTTTTGTCGGCCCATCCAATTTCCTCTAACTCCAAATTTCTAACCCTAACCCTTTATATACTCGTTACCATTTCCCCCATCTACCATCCCGGCCTCCCCCTCCCTCTCTCTCTCTCTAAGCACCAAAATCCTCTCTCAGTTTAATCTTCTCTCTCGCTCTCAATATCTCTTAGCTCTCGTCTCTCGATTGAAAAACAATGTTTCCTTCAATCGTCATTGAAACTCCTTAGATTGAGAAGGTAATCTCTAGTCTCATCCCCTTTGTTAGCTATAAGACATTGTTTTTTTTTTTTTTTTTTTTTTTTTTTTTTTTTTGTTTTGTTTTGTTTTGCTTTTTTTTTTTTTTTTTTTTTTTTTTGTTTTTGTTTTTGATTTATTTTTTTTACAAGTGTAGATGTATGTTGTCCATTTGAACAACCAACAAAAAAAAATTGTTTTTTTTAAAGAAATTGAAATGAGGAAAATATGGACAAATTTATTTTGAAACATATTTTATTGAATACTACATTTTCTATTTTCCTAAATTTGTGATACTTAATACACCCGTATTTACAAAGTCGTCCCCAATTAAAGACGAGGAAGAGAAAAAAAATACTACTAAAATTCAAATAGCTTTTGCGCTATTTTGATACAATTCTCTCTCTCTCTCTCTCTCTATCTCTATCTCTATCTATCTCTCTCTCTCTCTCTCTCTCTATATATATATATATATATATATATATATATATATATATATATATATATATATATATCTCTCTTTATATATATACTTCTAAAAAAATATCAAGTTTTCATTTTCATTAGAAAGCTATTAAATCTGTTCAAATCTATTTATTTATCAATTTATAAAATATGAAACTAATAGACATTAAATTTTTTTCTTCATAAAGCAATAAATATGTAGTGCCAATTGATAAAAGTATCAAGTAATATTGTAACTAGGGAAAATGGCACTTTTTACCCCTGAGTTATATACTTATAGCACTTTTTCCCCCTCAATTATTTAGGTAAGCACATTAGCCCCCTCAATTATTCTAAAAGTGGTGCTTTTCCCCCCCTGATATATTAAATTGACATTTATACCCTTAAAGTAAACATTTTATTTATTTTACTACTCCAACAAATTATTGCGTATAAGTAGGGATGACCACGGTTCGATTTGAATTGAACCGGATACTAAAGCAATCGAATTAATAGTTTACGGTTATAATTCAGATCTAGAACCCAATATTTAAATGTCAATTTATTAAAATTATGTATCAAAAAATTGAATCTTGAACCGTGAACCGGCGGTTCCGGATCTGATTCGCGGTTTTGAACCGTCTTTATTTTAAAATTTTATTTTTATTTTAAAATAGTCTAAATTCAACAATAAATGTATTTTATTTTTTTTCGGAACATGAACCGTCCGTTCCGGTTCACGATTTTAATAAACTCTAAATATCAAATTTCGATTCTAAATTGTAATTGGAATATTTCGGTTTGGTTGCTATAGTGTTTGTTTAGTTTGAACCAAATTATGGTCATAATTTGTTGGAGAAAAAAATAAATTAAATATTTAGTTTAAGGGTAAATATGTCCATTTAACATTTCAGGGGGAAAAACAGCCACTTCAATAACTTAGGGGGAAAAAATGCTATAGATATATAACTCAGGGGGAAAAAGTGCCATTTTCCCTTGTAACTATGTAGGTTGTTATGGCCTTGTGGTTAGTAGATGGAATAAAGTTAGAAATAACAGTAAAACAAGTAAAAGAAATATGAATGTGATAAATGGGATGATGGATAGTCAATAGAGATAGTGGCAAATAGCTACGTGGGAATAATTTTATTTTTAAAATTCTTATTAGCAGTTAATTAAAAATTAAATATTCAGAATGTGATAAATGGGATGATGGATAGTAAGTAGAGATAGTGGTTTGGAATGTAGTTCTTGATTCTTAAAAAAAAAAAAAAAAGTAGAGATAGTGGCAAATAGCTACATGGGAATAATTTTATTTTTTAAAATTCTTATTAGCAGTTAATTAAAAATTAAATATTCATTTATTCTCATAGATAATTAATTTTTTTGAGTACTTATAGATAATTAGTTAAAAACAAAATAAATTAATTCTATAATAATATACATACTGAAATTAATCAATGATGTAACACTAGCAATATTTATTGGAATCTTTTTGTAATTTGTATGGCTTTTATTCCTTTTGTACTGACATTCAAATTTCTTATGGATAATGTGAATGATATTATATAACAATTACATTCAAATTTCAAATTTCTTATTCCTTTTGTACTGGCATTCATATTTTTTAAGGATATGAGTTTGGCATAAATATATAATTAATTTTTTTTTTTCTATTTTCAGATAACAAAAGCTAAGGAAGTTTAATCTAAGACACACAATCAAGATGTCATTCCCTACTCCTAAGCGAAAGCGCCATATGCCACAACCAAATTTGAATCAAGATATTATCACAGAAATCCTTAAAAGGCTGTCTGTGAAGTCTCTGCTGCAATTTAGGTGTATTTCAAAAGCTTGGCGTGATTTAATCTCATCTCCAGAATTTGTCAAATTCCACCTACATTTTCAATCGAAAAAAGATAATAAGGTCATGACTTATAGCAGCGCAAATTGGATTAATAGCTATATGTCCTTGTTTTCTATTACAGAGAACAAGCAATCATCATTTCGCAAGTTTATTACATATGACCGCTTGGTCTTAATCCCTGAAGGTGGTTTTGAATTGTTGGGTTCTTGCAATGGGCTCCTTTGCTTTCGTGCTAAACCGTATAGAATAATCATTTGGAACCCATCATCAAATGGAAACATCAAGACAATCCCAGATGTCTGGCAGTTGGGCTACGTGAGCATTTTTGGATTTGGGTATGATGAGTGTAATGATGACTATAAGGTTGTTTATGCTTATTATGATGGCAATGGTGATGAGACTGTAGTCTTGGTTTACAGTTTTAAGCATGGGTCATGGAAAAGAAGTGAAAGAGGATTTACTAGTGGGTTTGTTCATCCAAGAATTGCTGTGTTTGTGAGTGGTAGTCTCAACTCGTGCAACAACAACTTACATGAAAGTGACTGGAATTGGGATATAATTTCTTTTAACTTAACCACTGAAACTGCCAAACCTATGGCCTTACCGAGCCATGAACATGCGGCCGCTATTTGTATAAGTGAATCAAGAGGATTGCTTTTTGCAGGTTTTCATCACAAACGTCAAATGGAAGTTTGGGTGATGAATGAGTATGGAGTTGAAGAATCTTGGACTAAACTAGTCTGCATTTCAAACTTACCAGTTCATCATCCAGTTTCCCGGGGTTTCGAGAACACTACATACATGGCTATATGTAATTCGAAACTTGCAATTGCACATGTTTCTGAAAATGGGGATATTCTAATGATGGTTGGACATCAGCTAAAGCTCCATAGGCCTAATGCTAAAGGGGGAAAGAATTTTAATATCCCCTTTGGTCTTGGTTATATGGTAACTAGTTACGTGGAGACCCTTGTTTCCCCGGCCATGATTGGTCTGTAAATGATGATAGGTGAAGTGGGCAACCAGGCGATCAACAACAACAACAACAATGATTATTGTGTTATTGGTATTTTAGTGTTGTGAAGTAAATTTTACTAGCCATCGCTGTTGAGAACTATTGATTTGTGTGAATGCAAAAAAGGTAAGCTATCCTAGAAATGATTATAAGTTAAATTTCATTGCATTTTAAAACGTACAGACACACTATTTTCGATATATATGTGAAGCTTTGTAATCTTGGACTAGATGTATTCTGATCTTAACGCCCAACGCATCGTGTTAAGGGTTATGACTTTGAGCGATTGTAATCCTTTGTGTACGATATATATGTTAAGGGTGTGTTTTTAGCCTATTTGTAATCCTTTGTGTACAATTAGTGAACATTTAAACTATAAATGTGCATTGTGTTATGAATTATTACCACACTTTGTATTCTTGTGAATTTATAAAGATTCAGCTCAAAGGAGACATGGTGGCATAAATCGGACCATTGCAAGACAAGGAGCGAACCAGAGCCGGGCTAGGATCACCCAACGCACGTGGGGAGTGCGTGGGACGGGCATGGGACGAATAAGTGACCGGCCCACGCACGTGGGCCTGGTGCATTGGCAGTGCAAGGTTGGTGGATTTTGGAAGGCTAATTGAAGGGAAACTAGTTACTAGGCTAGGATGAGATTAGAATAGGGAAATATGAAATATTACATTGTTCTAGTAGATTAGATTCTCTGTCTAGGTTTTCTCTCTAAATGGAAAACAAATAGGCCCAATTCTCTGAATGGTATTTGTTTTCGTTGAGCCGCCCAATTTTCTCCAAGTCCAAATGTCTAACCCTAACCCTTTATATTCTCTTTACCATTTCCACCTACTACCTACCCCTCTCTCTCTCTCTAAACACCAAAATCATCTATATCAATTCTCATCTCACTTTAATCTCCTCTCTCACTCTCAATCACTTTTGACTCTCGTCTCTCGATTGTAAATTTATGTTTTCCATTTAGACTACAAAAAAATTGTTTTCTTTGTAAAAAAAATTGAAATTGGGAAAGTTTTTTCATTCCGAAACATATTTTATTAAATACATTTTCTATATTTCCTAAATTTTTCTTAATTAATACGCCCGAATTTGCAAGTGTTTCGGCAATTAAAAGTGAAAAAGAGATATTTGTTACATATCTAACTCTTTATCTCTCTCTCTCTCTCTATATATATATATATATATATATATATATATATATATATATATATATATATACACACACACAATTTCTAAAAAAATTTCATGTTTTTTTCTAAAAAAATAATATAGAACTCTAGAGATTACCTTCTCAATCGTGCAAAATTTTATAAAATAATAGTTTGGAACCCTTCTTCAAATGTAAACCTCAAGACAATCCGAGATGTCTAGCAGTTGGGCTACATGATAATATTTGGATTTGGATAGGACGAGTATAATGACGATTACAAGTTTTTTATGCTTATTATGGTGACTATAGTGATGAGAATATGATTTTGGTGTACAGTTTTAAGTATGGGTACTGGAAAAGAAGAAAAAGAGGGTTTATTAGTGGGTTTGTTAATCCCATAACTGTTGTGTTTGTCAGTGGTAGTCTCAACTGGTGCAACAACAACTTAGATGACAGTGACTGGAATTGGAACATAATTTCATTTAATTTAACCACTCAGGCCGCCAAATCTATAGTGTTATCCATCCATGAACATGGGGATGCCATTTGTATAAGTAGATCAAGATGATTGCTTTTTGCAGGTTTTCATTATAAACGTCAAATGGAAGTTTGGGTAATGAATGAGTATGGAGTTAAAGAATTTTGGACTAAACTAGTCTGCATTTCAAACTTACCAGTTCACGATCCTCTTCCCCGGAGTTTAGAGAATATTGCATACATGGCTTTGTGTAATGCTAAACTCTCAATTACACATGTTTCTAAAAATGGTGATATTCTCATGATGGTTGGGCACCAGCTGAAGCTCCATAGATGGGCTAAAGAGCTTGGAGAACCACACTTTCAGCTATCTGAAGGAGATCGAAGATCCATATTTCAACTGTCCGACTTAGTGATTCACCCATCGTTCCACCAGAGTTAAAACATGGAATACGACCCTCAAGTTGAGATTTAATCTCCAATGTTTTCATCATGCTCAATGTACCTTAGTGATAAGTGCCAAACACACCTATAATTAAGGTATTTGTAATGACAAATGTTCATTTTTTGATATTATTCAAGTTGTATTTTTGGACCATGTCTAGAAGCTTAAATGTGTATATTATATTTCCAATTAAGCTATCTTTGGGAGAAGGAACTTTAAGACCAAGAGGTTTTTTAGGTTATCTTGTGATTGATATTTTGTTTAGCAGGCTTCGTATTATAACAATTTTTTTGGGGCGTGACAGTATTTTAAGGGTGTGTTTTGAGCCTATTTGTAATCCTTTGTGTACAATTAGTGAACATTTAAACTATAAATGTGTATCGTGTTATGAATTATTACCACACTTTGTATTCTTGTGAATTAATAAAGATTCAGCTCAAAAGAGACATGGTGGCATAAATCAGAGCATTGCAAGACAAGGAGCGAACCAGAGCCGGGCTAGGATCACCCAACGCACGTGGTGAGTGCGTGGGACGAGCATGGGATGAATAAGCGACCGGCCCACGCACGTGGGCCGGGTGCATTGGCAGTGCAAGGTTGGTGTATTTTTGAAGGCTAATTGGAGGGAAGCTATTTAATTGGCTAGGATGAGATTAGAATAGGGAAATACGAAATATTACATTGTTCTATATAGTCGATTACATTCTCTCTCTAGGTTTTCTCTCTAAATGGAAAACAAATAGGCCAAATTCTCTGAATGGTATTTGTTTTCGTTGGGCCACCCAATTTTCTCCAAGTCTAAATGTCTAACCCTAACCCTTTATATGCTCTTTACCATTTCCACCTACTACCTACCTCTCGCTCTCTCTAAACACCGAAATCCTCTGTATCAATTCTCATCTCACTTTAATCTTCTCTCTCACTCTCACTCACTTTTGACTCTCGTCCCTCGATTGAAAAACAAGGTGTCTATACATCTATCAACCTGATCTCTTCCATTGTAACCGAAACTCCTTAGATTGAGAAGGTAATCTCTAGTCTCATCTCCTTTGCTAGCTATAAGACATGATTTTTTTTTTTAGAAGTGTAAATCTATGTTTTCCATTTAGACTACAAAAAAATTGTGTTCTTTGTAAAGAAATTGAAATTGGGAAAGCTTTTTCATTTCGAAACATAATTTATTAAATACATTTTCTATATTTCCTTAATTTTGCTTAATTAATACGCCCGAATTTCCATATTTTTCGGCAATTAAAAGTGAAGAGGAGATATAAATCACTACCAAACTTCAAATAGCTTTTGGATTATTTTGTTACATATCTATGTATATATATATATATATATATATATATATATATATATATATATATATACACACACACACACACACACACACACACACATATACACATATGTATATATATATATATATGTGTGTGTGTGTGTGTGTGTGTGTATATATATATATATATATATATATATATATATATATATATATATATATACAATTTCTAAAAAAATTTCATGTTTTAATTTTCATTAGAAAGCTATATAATATGTTTAAATCTACATATTTGTCACTTTATAAAATATGAAATTAATTGGAATTAAATTCTTTTCTTCGTAAAGCAATAAAATTGTAGTGGTAAATGATAAAAATATCAAGTAATGTTGTAGCGATATAGGTTGTTGTTGCCTTTTGTGTAGGTAGATGGGATTAAGTTAGTGAAATAATGGTAAAACAAGTAAAAGAAATATGAATGCAATAAATGCATATGTAGTAATGGTTAAGTAAGTAGACAATTATGGGATATTAATAGTTGGGGACCAATTAAATAGGTTGGTGGTAGTAGGAATAAATAAATAGGCCATAGTGAGTAAAACTGATATGATTATACTAGAGGAAAATAGGAAATAGTGATGGTTGAGGTAGGTAGGTGGTGGTAACTAGATGGTTTAGTTGGTGGGTGAAGGTAATGATATAAAAATAAGTAAAGTGAATGTGCATAACTAAAGATAATGGTGGAATATAATTCCTATCAATATCTTGCTTTTCTATTTCTAAAACGAACCAAAAAATAAATACAATTTCTAAAATATATTTCTTCCGAAAACCAAATAGTGGAATGTAATTTCTATTCAATATCTTATTGCTTTTCGATTCCCTCTTGAATATTTAAGGGCTACTTAGTATGGTCAAATTTTTTTCCATTACCGTTTCTTACATTTCCATTTGTATACTCTTTACCTTTTCTACATTGAAAACAAATAGACCCAATTATCTAAATGGAATTTTTTCTTCGTCGGCCCACCCAATTTCCTCCAAATCCAAATATCTAAACCCTAACCCTTTATATGCTAATTATGATCTCTCTCTCTCTCTCTCTCTCTCTCTCTCTCTCTCTCTCTCTCTACGCACCAAAATCCTCTCTCTTATTCCCCCCTTTCCATTTCATATATTTCTATTATTTATACTCTTTAACTTTTCTATATGGAAAACAAATTGGCGCAATTCTCTATACAGAATTTGTCTTTTTCAGCCCGCCCAATTTCCTCTAGTCCAAATGTTGAACCCTAACAATTTTGTTGTTGTTTACCATTTCCCCCCTCTAATTCTCTCTTTATAAGAACCAAAATCCTCTCTCTTATTCATCCCATTCCATTTCATATGTTTCCATTATTTATACTCTTAACCTTTTTTTTTAAATGGAAAACTAATAGGTCCAATTCTCTAAATGGATTTTTTTCAGCCCGCCCAATTTCCTCCAATCTAAATGTCTAACACTAACAATTTAATGCTCCTGATCATTTCCCCCCTCTACCCACTACCCTATCTCCCCCTCTCTCTCTAAGCACTGAAATCCTCTCTCTCAAGATTCCTCTCACTTTAATCTTCTCTCTCACTCTCAATATCTTTTGACTCTAGTCTCTCGATTGAAAAACATGGTGTCAATACATCTATCAACCCGATCTCTTCCATCGTCATCGAAACTCTTTAGATTGAGAAGGTAATCTCTAGTTTCATTCCCTTTGCTAACAATAAGACTTGAAAATTTTTTGAGAAGTGTAAATCTATGTTTTCCGTTTGAACAACCACAAAAAAATTGTTTTCATGGTAAAGAAATTGAAATTGGGAAATCATGGTCACATTCATTTCGAACCATATTTTATTGAATACATTTTCAAATTTTCATAAATTTTGGTTACTTAATATATCCGCATTTTCAACTTTGTTGACAATTAAAAGTGAGAAAGAGATATAAACTACTACCTAACATCAAATCGCTTTTGGTGTAACACCCCTGATTTTCACGACATTTTAAAAACTTAAATACGTAAGGCAATGTAACTAACATGTATCATGAAACGTAAACAACAACGGAAGTCTTAAATTAAAAACGGGGAAAACCGGGAAGTGCTATGCCACATCCACCTCAATGTGGATGCACATGCAAGTCTAAAACCAACATACTATCTTGTTCAACATAACCATGGCACACAGGCCCAAAACACTACCTACAAAGTCCAAGGGAGCTACACTACAACCAACAGCTAGCGCACTTGCCATAAGCTACTCAGGACCTGTAAAGCAACATAAAGAAATGGGACGACGCCCGGTCAGCGAACATTGCTGGTAACCCATCAATACGCGTTAAGTAGCATATATAGATAGTATAAGACAAAACCATTTTCGAAACGGGATACAGTATATATTAATTCAAAGCCAAGAGAGAAGTCACTTCAAAGACTCCATTTCACTCTAAAAAAGAACAAGGGAAATCAACATCCCAAGACAACATCAAGACAAGAACGACAACAGTACAACTCAACACAGCTCAAGATGTAATCTACTGATCACAAAGTAGAAAACATCAAGACAAGAACGACAACAGTAAACAAGTACAAGTCGAGGTGTATTCTACTGATCACAAAGTAGAATACCACTCGACATGCTCATCAGAAAAGAATAGACATTCATACATTGGCAACTACATGCCACAGTGACACTTCATGTCACAAGAATCATAGTTCCAACCTTAGGCGCTGTTCCAACCTTATGGCTACTCCCGGCCTTATTACAGTTCCAACCATTACCTCCGAGAACCCCTGTACTTTTGAGTCCAACCTTATGCCTCCGGGAACCGTCGTTGTAACACCCCAAAAATCCACATTCAATCCATGGATTAATTGAATAATTAATCCTATTTCATTTGAGGAATTAATTCCTAAAATCCTGATTTTTAATACTCAAGGACTAGTATTTGACTAGTCAACCTTAAAGTTGTGTTGTACCTTGAGCTTTGAGGGGAGTTCCTTTGTTCCTTACATTTTCTAAAGGTTAGTAAGGGTATTCTTGACTTTTCTCCAAGAGTTAGTATTGTAACCTAACCTAGAAGACTTCTTCATTTCATTCCTTACATTTCCTATAAATTAGCTCTACCTTCTCTCTAGAAAGAAGTGTAGCTTAGTCTCCAAGCTAAGTTGAAACCCTTGTCAAGATTCCAATATTTGCTTCCAAGATTCAACCTTTCACCTATTTGGGCATCTAGGAGGGTAAGATCTAAGTCCATCTTGTGTTTTTGGTTCCATCTTAGTTGTCTTTTTCTTAAAGGTAGGATCTTTATGATCTTTTGGTTTAATCTTGAAGTGGGTTTGGAAAGTAAGCTTTGTGGGGAGCTTGTTGTGGTGTAAAGTGAAGTATTTTGGTCTACAAGAGGTAACCCATGCTCTACAAAACCTATTTTGCTTACCTATATGTGATTTCTTGGATTCTACTTGTGTTTTGCTATGAAATGTGAGTGTTGATGCATGATCTTGTGAAAATGCATATCTAGAGCTTGTGTTTAGGGTTCTTGTGTGCCATTGCTTGACATTTCCTATTATTCAAGTCATTTTGTTGTATTGGGTGAGATTTGGCATGTTTTGGACTTGAATTTGTGTTTGGAGAAGAAAATCCCCGAAGGGATTTGTTGTGGTACAAGTGTGTACCCGCGGGC